GCGGGTTGAAGGGATAGCCACAAAGCCTCGGTAATTCTGTGCTGTATGGTCCGTGAGCACGGGACGATGCTGACTCTAGAAGCTAGGGCAGCCAGAGTGCAGCCGCAAAAAGATTAGGCCCAGGAAGGGCATCATGGCGTTGGGAAGCAAGAGACACCAGTAGCCCATTGCCCAGGCCGATGCCTTGTTGCGGAAGCAGCGGGCCTCTTCCTTCGTCGGCAACCGGGATGCATCGGCGCCAGCCACAGGCTGTGCTGGGACGCCACAGACGCGGCCATCGACGACAACCTTGCTGTGTACGGTTGACAACGGCTCCACATAGCCGGCCGCCGCGACCTGGCGCTGGAGCTCAATCACCACACACGAATCATCAAATCATCATAGCACACATCTATCTCATTTGTTCTTCGAGTCGGTCTTTATAAAACTTGTTTGCTCTTGACGGCCTCACAGCCGGGCTCCAGTGTGCAATTGGGGCCCACGTATGCACCTGCGCCAACCTTCACGCGTCTCAAGACCATGCGCCGGGTGCCATAGTTCACCGCCGTCAAGTGCCTGGGCCCGTGGACGGTTGCCAGGTCCCCTACGCTCACCAAGTCAAATGCCACCACCCGGCGCGTGATCACGGAGGACAGGGACACATCTGCGCCAACGGCCTTTAGGGCCAGGTTGCGCATGAACAAGAAGGCCATGCTGCTTCCCTGATGGGCTTTTTGATCTACTATCGTGCCCTTGGCGACATGTTCGACGAGCCAGTGACGCAGGTACATCAGGCTGTAAATATCGTGATCACCCTCTTTGTAGCGGCCGATGAGCAGCCACTTCAAGAGGACTAGGACTCCGACCCGCACGAATTGCTCCAGAAACAGCCAGGCCAACAAAACAAGGAAGGAGACCCACAATGGGTGGCAGAAGGCCAGTGGCGGCAGCAGCCGATCAGCCACGACCATTTTCGCTGCCACAGCCACAGGCTGGGCCTCTCAGGTTCGCCAAAGTACAGAAAGCCAACTTGCAGCAAGGTCTACAGCACATGGCAGAGAGCGCGAATATTCTATGCTTGCAAGCAGCAAGAATCGCAGCACCCTGAACCACGGCACAGAGCACAGGCCATGAGTTCGGCCCGAAGGACTTCTCGTGCTCCTCGCTGTGACCCAGGATGTAGCCAGCCCTAAGTGGAGCTTACAGAAGTTTCTACAGCTCTGTGGCACGGCAGGTCAGTATGGAGCCGAAGCTAGAGTGTCAGACGACTGCACCACCACCCATGTTGCAAACCACAATGAGGACAACAAAGCATAAGCAAGCGACCACATGCAGAAATGTAAACTTCGAGGTGTTCCGGAGGCGTTAGC